GAGATATTTTCTTGTGCTAGATGATATGTGGAATGAAGAAGTGAGTGAATGGGAAGACTTGAGAAGCCTTCTATGTAGTGGTCGTAATGGAAGTGTAATTATAGTAACCACACGTGGTTCAAATGTTGCATCAGTGGTGAAGACACTGGAGCCATATGAAGTAGCAAAGCTACCACAAGAAGAGTGCACAGAAGTATTTTTCCGATATGCATTCAAAGGTGACGAAAAAAGGGATGCTAAGTTGTTAAAAATTGGACACTCAATTGTTGAGAAATGCTATGGTGTCCCTTTGGTTGCAAAGACATTGGGTTCCCAGTTGTTAAGCAGTCGAGATGTTGGAGAGTGGCATCGCATCAACAAATTGAAATTATGGAATGTGAAGCAAGATAACGTTGGAATTTTTGCAGCACTAAAACTAAGTTATGATGCACTACCACCCCATCTACGGGCATGTTTTGCTTCCTTGTCCACTTTTCCAAAAGACTACAATCTTTTTACAGAAGGTCTTGTTATGTTCTGGATGGCATTAGGATTGTTGGACGGAGGAAAGGAAAGCAATGACATTATCAGTATTGGCCAAGAATACTGTCATGAACTTTTAGGAAGATCACTTTTACAAGATCAGTATATTATTTTTGACTCTACTATAGTGTATTGTAAAATGCATGATCTTATTCATGACCTTTCAATAAAAGTGTCCCAAAAGGAACATACAGTTGTCAGTTGTGAAAAATTTGATGTCTCTGAGAGGATTAGACACCTAGTGTGGGACAACCAAGACTTCTCAATGGAGATGAAATTTCCTAAGCAGCTAAAAAGGGCCTGTAGGGCGAGGACATTTAAAAGCAGATACAATTGTCGCATTGTGAGTAAAGCCTTTCTTGAAGAACTTTTATCAACTTTCAAACACCTTCGTGTCTTAGTTTTTTCTGAAGCTGGATTTGAAGAGCTGCCAAGTTCGATTGGAAATTTAAGGCACCTAAGGTATCTAGATCTACAACGGAATAGAAAATTCAAATACCTACCAAATTCTTTATGCAAGCTAGTGAATCTACAAACGCTCCATCTTAGTCGGTGTAACCAACTAGTGGAGCTACCAAGAGACGTGCATGGACTTGTTAACCTGACGTTTCTCTTCTTGACTTCAAAGCAGAAACATTTGTTAAAAGATGGGTTTTGTGGTTGGCCTTCCCTGTCAGTTCTAGAATTGGGTGGCTGCCTTGAGCTAGCATCATTGACAGAGGGACTTGGCAGCTTGGCTTCCCTCAGAGACCTACGCATCTTCAATTGTCCAAAGTTGTCTTCTCTTCCCTCTGCCATGAGTCAGCTCTCCAAACTCCAAAAGTTGATTATTAATAATTGTATAGTGCTTGATCTGATGGAACCAGAGGAAGCCATGAGCGGGTTGTGCTCCCTCCGTACATTCAATCTTGTTGCTCTTCCAAAGTTGGTGGGATTTCCCGATAGCTTCAAATCTGCTGCTTCCTCTCTGGGATATATTTTGATCCACGATTGCAAAGGATTAGATAAGCTGCCAAGTTTCATCCAAGATTTCACTTCTCTTGAGAAAATTGTGATTCGTGACTGCCCTGCGTTGAGCAAGAGATGTGCCGTGGGTTCTGGGGAGGATTATCTTCTCATCCGCCACGTACGTGAGATACACATTGATGGCATAGTCTTCAAAAGGTATATTCTTTGTCTGCTCTGGTTTACTCCTTGATCAATTGTATTTACTGGTTGTTTTATTTATTCTACCAACCAAAAGGTCTTGCTGTATAAATCTTATCCCACACGTTTTTTCCCCCACTGAGGATTCTAACTCCCGACTCTTTTGGCTCATTGCATGCGCAGACCCGCTTGAGGCACCAGCAACGACGTCATAGGTACTGAACCGTGACTAAAAGGAGCTGCTAAGCACCAACGCTGCGAGCTCTTCGCCTATTATCGTATTATTCATATATCGCTGTAGCAGCATCCTGTTTAGTGCTTCCGATGATTGTGGTCTTCTCGTCAAGTGATCGTGATACACTTGCATTTTGTGATATATAAATAATTATAATAAGCTGGACACAGCTACTTAAAATGTAACGTTAGTGCCGCATTTCGTTGTACATACATGGTTGAATTTCTATGTTTGCTGAACAATTGTGCAAGTGGACAATTATTAGCAAATGTGTTGAGCTCACGGACCTCATGATTGGTTTCGCTTGGTTACATGCTAGGCTTCAAATATTATTATCCATGCATGTTAAGATTTTGTTGCTTCACTGATCCTGGTGAGGTGTGGTTTATTTGCTCTTGTGGCCGGCGAGCACCTCGGGGCTCAGCCTCGGGCGGCACAGGGGCTGCTGAACCTGTGCCAGTGTGGCGTGGCGTCCTCGATCGGCTTAATTAACCCACTTGTCACTTGTGTTCGTTTGTGAGACGAGAGGCGCGTGGCATGTTTTTGCTAGCTCAAGGAGGCGTCGATGCCGGCAGACCGGCGGTGCGCGTACCATGTGTCGTAAATATGTCTAGCGCGAGGTGAACAGATGGTCACGCACTAGAATTCAACCATGTCTAAATATGCCGTAAAAACATGTGTCGTAAATATGTCTAGTGCGTGACCATCTGTTCACCTCGCTCGTGTAGTCGTGTTAACGGTGTCAGATAATAAGTCTTCGTCAGCAGGACATGCCTGTTTGTTCACAAGTGACGACCAAATGCTGCCGCGTTGGTGTCGTGCGATTTGTTCACGTGCTCTGTCTGTGCGGAAATCCTATGTATCGCCCGCAAGGGAGAAAAAAGTTTGTATATCCTCAACGGTTAGACGTTACTGATTCATTCGAATGTTTGTGCTACTGGTCTTGCTGATTCCTCCTATAAATGGGCATCCAATGAAAATGCGAGTGCACCTGAGATGGGCTGGGTCCAGGAGCATACGAGCTGAAATTCGTTAGTTTTAGGTCCTGTTTGGTTGAGCTGTGGATTTTAAAAAATCTGCTGTGAGCTATGGGCTGTGGAAAAGCTGCTGTGAGCTGTGAAACTATGGGCTGTGGAAAAGTCGTTTGGTTGGAGGAGCTGTGAAACTGCAAGCTGTTTAAGAAATGTCTATAATGCCCCTAAAGGCCTGAGAGACTATTTATATGCAAATTGCTCGTAAATAATTGTTGCACTCACTTATTAGCATGTAAATAATTATTGTGGTAAGGAAACATTAATTTATTCTAAGTTTTTTATCATTCAAAGTGATATAGTCCACATAAATAGAACAAAAAGATAGGGGCTCATCCAATTATGTCATCTCTGAACATAACTATCATTCTCTCACACTAACCAAAGCATCAGCTATTCTACTACGAATGGTATTCATGGTATCCTCATTCTCCACATCTTCACTCTCATCTCCCTATGTTTGTGTTGTGCCACTTGTCTCTTGTACCAAGTATTCCTCATCAGCATCACATCTCTCGAACTTCTTATCACACAAATTGCTGTCACGGATAAAATTATGCAATGCCAAACAAGCAATGATGATATGCTTCTGAGTACGAGTTGAGAAACTTGGTATGCCCTTCAAAATACGCCACTTCTCCTTCAATACTCCGAAAGACCGCTCAATGATATTTCGAAGGGATGAATGCAAGAAATTGAACACCTCATACTTCCCTTAGGGTGGTCCAGAACAATTATGAAATTTTTGTATATGGTATGTGCTTCCTTTGAAAGGGGCCAGATACCCTATTCGGTTTGGAAAACCAGAGTCCACGAGATAATATTTTCCTACAAAATCAAATCAGTATAAGCAAATAATAATACAAGTACTTTACTGCTACCTTAGTAAGGATATGAGTATACCTTTACGAGGCAAGGGAAATGAAGGAAAATTTGCCAATGCATGATTGAGGATACGTGTGTCATGTGCACATTCGGGCCAACCAGCAACCGCAAAGATAAACCTCATGTCAAAGTCATAAACATCTTGCACATTCTGAGATGTATATCCATGATGGCATGTGTAATTAATCATATCCTCGGCGGGCACAACCACTGGAACATGTGAACCGTCTATTGCTCCAATAGTGCCTTTGAAGTAAGGCCAGAAACGTTCATCTTTGATTCTTTCATGTTCTGTAAAAAAAACTAGCATCTCTTGGCTTAAATATTGTCCTTAGCTAACTTGCGCAAACACTTAAGTACCTCGTGAAACTTAGTGTGAACTGTCCACAGTGATCGAGTGAAGCGATTTTCAGTTTGTGAAAATGATTGTGGGCCTCCGACAATCCACAAGAATATTGCCAATGACTCAATGGATGAAACATTGTTAGTGGAGGTCAAACTGTAGGTAGATACTAGCAACTCATGTAGTACTGTGAAGACCTCAGTGCTCATTCGAAACATCTTATAGAAGTACCTTGGACGAGCAAAGCACCTCATCACCCATTGAATTCCAGTTTCTAGTGTTTTCCTGTACTCACCTTTGTCAAAATAATGCTTAGTGTATTGTGCACCCATTTGACCAATAACAACAGTATGCTGGGAAAACTCAGCTAGGAGGACTAGTCCCTTCTGTCCTTCTTTGGCTACACCTTTCAAGTTGTTATCCATCTACAAAGAATATTAAAATTTATTAATTCAATTGACCTAGGATACATCAGTATATGCACAAGAATATAATCTGAGACAAGAAAATAATTTCACATAAGGATATAATCTGACACAAAGAAATAATCTCACAAATAGTCTCAGCATAAGTAAATAGTCTCAGCACAATCAAATTATTTGTTACAGCCATACAACTAATAGTTCTCACAATAGAAATTAAAATTGGTTCACACGACAACAATAGAAAGTAAAATTGGTTCACACGACAACAATAGAAAGTAAAATTGGTTCACACGACAGCAATAGAAATAAAAATTGGTTCACTGCCGCCTCATCATCTCCTTTTCAACATGCTCCCTCTCAATCACATCTAGCCTTTCTTTATTTGTTTTGATATGGCTGAAGACCTCTCTAAATTAAGGCTTCATGATCAGCATGGTGGCAGTGTGCATTAAAGCAGTTCCTTCTTCCACCCCACACTCTTCGACCATCGTCATAGCCTCTCCAATAGTGGGGACTAAATTAGTTGGAGGAGCTGATGATGCAGATACACTTGAGAAGATCTTGTCTGCTGCACTTTCTATCTTCAAACATGTGTTTTTGTACATGCGAAAAAATGGACTCTTCTCTTCTTTGTCTTCAGTACAAGAGCTCTTGCGTTTCTTTTTTCCTAGCTTCTTCAAAGCGGCTAGCTTGACATTATCATTATCTGGAGGTTTTGGTACCTCGGCCACGTCCTCATCACTTGCCTCATCAGAGGATATATCTTCATGATAGGATGCAGTGGCCCCAATCACATGTGCCTTGCCAAAAATTAGATCAAGATCGTCAAGGTACTTCGGTCCTTGTTTTCTGAATCTCACATGGTTGCATTTTAGTTCTTTCTCATGGTTATCACATCTCTGAAATTGAATAAAAAATTTTAGCAAGACACACCATATCAAAGTATGAAAAAGAATATCAATAGTGAGAGTTCAGTTCTTACAGCAAGGTGTTCAGTCCACCATTCCTAAGGGCAATCAACAGTTCCCTTTGCCGCGTCCCATCCAAGTCCGGTGGCATAATTCTTGAACTCCATGAACCATCCATATTCCTTTTTTATGTTGTCTAATTTGTTCTTCAACTGTATCTTTGTTCGCTTGTCACCGGTTCTTTCTTCAAACTTAGATACAAGATTTTTCCAACCAGTACTGGTGAAAAGTCCCAGGGGCCTATTCCCAGCTTCTATCTTCCCTTTGCGGATATCAATCAAATGCTTCAAAAAGAAATCACTTCAATCTGCCTTGTCACCCATTCTTGAATCAAACAAAGCAATTTTTTAAACTTGCTAAATTACCATAATACCATGCCATCATTTTAACATACACACAGCACACAGTACTAAATAAATAACATGCATCGAACCATTTATCGGAGACTGAGGTACCTACATTGCAGATCCAGTCACTAGAGGCGTAGATCGATGAAGCTGTGGCCGTTGAAAGGGACGCCGACCGTAGGTGCTGTGGCTGGGCGCAGTTCACTCGCGAGTTGGGCAGGGCCGAACCAGAGCGGAGAGGAGCGAAGAGGACCAATCCCGTGCCGCAGCAGAGAGGAGGGACGGGGCGGGGCCAGCGACTCCGGGGGCTAGAGAGGAGCTAGACAGGGCCGGCGAGCACCCTGCGGTAGGGGTCTGCGCTGGACTTGAGAGGCCAGGACGGGGCGGGGCCGGCGATTCTCGGCAGCGGAGAGGACTGGGACGGCGCTGGAGAGGACTGGGCAGCACTAGAGGAGGCCGGGGCACGGCCGGCGAGATGCGCCACCGCCAAACCCTAGCTCCGCCTAGTCGTCGCCACTTGCGGACGGACGGGCTCGGAGTCGCGGTAGGGAAGAGAAGTGAAAAGAACGAAACGTTTTCTTCATAACCGATGGTAGTGCGGGTAATTTCGTTGAAAGTGACCCCCCCCCCCCAAGCCGGTGAAAGCAGCCTCTCCCTAGCTGTGAAAATTGAACTACGTGAAAGCTAGCTTTTCCAAAAGCTATTGGGCCAGCAGGTGCCCTTTGGTTAGCTTTTGGGCTTTTGGGAGCAAAAGCTGGAAATATTTGCAAAAATGACACTCCCATTTTTGTAAATCGCCCCAAAAGCTGAAGCCAAAAGCTAAACCAAACACCCCCTTAGTTTCGCCTTGCTCTGTTCCTCCTCTACTGGTCGTCCTCTACCTCCTGTCCTTGTGCTCCTTGATTGACGACTAAGCACGCGCTGATGTATCACTGATGTTAACCTCACCATTAAACTATACATCGAGTTTCTTGTCATTTAGAGCGGCGAAAGGCCACTGATATTGCAGAAATGATTCTTTTTTCCCTGTAACGTCATACTTTACAAGTTATAGGCTCATAGCCCAAGCAGCCTCCTATATTATACTTGTTGAAAGATCAGTCCCAACTGCTGTGCTGACCTGGCTTGCTGAAGTTGTCGCCATTTTAGAAATAAACTTGTCGCCATTAGCACTAAGAATCAAAGGCGATCTTAGCAGCTCGTATATTTTATTCGGAATATGTATTCCAACTCTCCAATGACTCGGCCGGCAAAAGTCGATCATCACTTGTGCCACCTACTCCGAAAACAAAGACGACCTCCAGTAGTCAAGTCGTCTCTTGCATTATCGGCATTTCAATCCTCACCTCCGGCAGGAAGAAGCAGCCGCAAGAATTGCGTTTCCTCATACTGCTCAGGAGAGTACTGCTACACTGCAGCTCTCAATCGCCAACAATTCTCTGGTATGTGCGTGACAGTTCAACCTTGATATTCCTTTAATCTTTTTTTATTTATTTCAGACGATCCAACCATAATTACAACGTTGCTTTGTGGCTTGCCTGTTTGATTTTTGTGCAATCAATTCAGTTCCCTTCCCCGTCAAGCATGTGAAACAAAAGATAAGGAGCATATATACCATGAATATGATGCCAACTTGTGATCTCCGGTCACAAAGTTATGCTTGAGCCTTGTCCACTGCGTCTGCATGCTACTCTCCTAGTCTAAACTAGACGACATGGCACCACTAGTGGTTTCATACTCCTCCTAGTTCTTTGCTACGATCTACTGCAAATAGACCCTGTATTCTTCTTCAGTAAATCAAGTTACTAGTAGTATTTAATCTTCCATACATACTTTGTTTTCTTTCTGAAACTATCCAAGCATGAAATACCTTGTTTTGAATTTATCATTTCGACAAAGGACAAAATACAAATATTTGTAAGTGTAACAATCTGATGAATGTATTTTTGCTTCTGCAGTGGCTAGATTGCCGGACACTCGCTATGGCTGAGGTTATTTTATCACACTTCGCAACCTCTATTCTCGAGAAGGTCTCATCCTTTGCCACCGAATGCGCGGTTAATGAGATCAAGTCAACCAGGAACGTCAAGAAAGAAATAGGAATGTTGGAAAGCTCACTGAGATCTATTTAAGCTGTTCTTCAAGATGCCGAGGGAAGGCAGTCCAGTTCTCATGCCCTCCAAGAGTGGCTGGACAATTTGAAGGATGCAATATATGACATAGATGATGTTTTGGATGATGTAGCTACCAGAGATCTGGAGCAGAAAGTACATAAAGGTTTCCTAGCTCAACTTCAGCATCTAGTAGTTTATCCCTTTGAACTGAGTCACAGAATAAAAGAAGTTCGTGATAAACTCGAAGAAATAGCGGCCAACAAAACACAGTTTGGATTAACTGAGCAACCAACTCAAAACCTGGTGACCAGCAGTAGTAGTAGCAGGGAAACATACTCCTTTATCAATGAACCAAACATTGTTGGGAGAGATGGAGCTAAAAATGAGATCATCGCTAGGATTCTAACCGCCGCAGACTCCACTAGTCATTTGTCTATACTTCCAGTTGTCGGTTTAGGAGGCATTGTAAAGACTGCATTGGCCAAGTTAATTTACAATGACATGCATATCACTAATAAGTTTGAAATGAAATTATGGGCATGTGTCTCAGATATATTTGATCTTAAGAAGGTATTGGAGGACATAGTGGAATCAGGTACCGGTGAAAGCAATAAACACCTAAGATTACAGGCAGTTCAGAAAAAATTATGTGCCCTTTTGCAGGAAAAGAGATATTTTCTTGTTCTAGATGATGTGTGGAGTAATAAACCTAGTGATTGGAATGAGTTGAGAAGCTTGTTATCCAGTGGTGGAAGTGGAAGTGTGATTATAGTTACCACACGCAGTATAGATGTTGCTTTGGTGGTAAGTACATTAGAACCGTATGATGTCACGGAACTACCACATGATAAGTGCATGCAAGTATTTATTCAGTATGCATTCAGAGAAAAGGAAGTCAAAGATCCAGAGTTGCTAGAAATTGGAGAATCAATTGTGAAAAAAATGTTGTGGTGTTCCTTTGGCAGGAAAGACATTGGGCTCTCTGTTGTTTAATTGTCGAAGTGTTAAAGAATGGAGATGCATCTTGGAAGACAATTTGTGGAATGTTAAACAAGACAAAGATGGAATATTGCTGGCTTTAAAATTAAGTTATGATGCACTTCCACCCCATCTACAAGCATGTTTTGCTTCCTTGTCCACTTTCCCTAAGGACTTCAAACTTTATAGAGATGTTCTTATTATGTTTTGGATGGCACTAGGGTTGCTGCCTGGAGGAGAGGAAAGGAATGACGTGATGTCTATTGGAGAAAAATACTTTCATGAACTTTTAGGAAGGTCACTCTCACAAGATCAGTTTATGATTTTTAACAATATTATACAACATTGTAAAATGCATGACCTTATTCATGATCTTTCAATAAAAGTGTCCCAAAAGGAACATACAATTGTTAGTTGTGAAAAACATGATGTCTCTGAGAGGATTAGACACTTAGTGTGGGACTGCCAAGATTTCTCAATGGAGATGAAATCTCCAAAGCAGCTAAAAAGGGCCGGTAGGGCGAGGACATTTATAAGCATAGACAATTATGGCACTGTGAGTAAAGCCTTTCTTGAAGACCTGTTATCAACTTTCAAACACCTTCGTGTCCTAGTTTTTTCTCATGCTGGATTTGAAGAGCTACCAAGTTCGATTGGAAATTTAAGGCACCTAAGATACCTAGATCTAAAATGGAATAAAAAAATTAAATCCCTACCAAATTCTTTATGCAACCTGGTGAATCTACAAACACTCCATCTTGCTAGGTGTGACCAACTAGTGGAGCTACCCAGAGATGTGCATGGACTGGTCAATCTGATGTTTCTCTTCCTGACTTCAAAGCAGAGACATTTCTTAAAACATGGGTTTTGTGGTTGGCCATCTCTGTCAGATCTACAATTGAAGAACTGCCTTGAGCTAACATCATTGACAGAGGGGCTTGGCAGTCTGGCTGCCCTCAAAGAGCTACGCATCTTCAATTGTCCAATGTTGGCTTCTCTTCCTTCTGCCATGAGACAACTCTCCAAACTCCAAAAGTTGGTTATAAATAATTGTGCAGAGCTTGATCTGATGGAACCAAAGGAAGCCATGAGCGGGCTATGCTCACTTCGTTCACTCAATCTTGTCTCTCTTCCAAAGTTGGTGGGATTTCCAGAGAGCTTCAATTCTGCTGCATCCTCTCTTGAATATGTTTGCATTGACGATTGCAAAGGATTGGAGAGGCTGCCAAGTGTAGTCAAAGACTTCACTTCTCTTAAGAGAACTATCATTCGTTACTCTCCTGCATTGAGTAGGAGATTCACTGTGGGTTCCGGAGAGGATTATCATCTCATGAGCCATGTCCCTGAGATATGGATTGATGAGGTGTTGTTGGAAAGGTATAACTATTGATTGTGGTTTACTTGCCGGTTAAAACAAAATTGGTACTTTTGTTTTGCTTGCACCAATAAAAAATAGTACTGGTTTATCTTACTCTGTTTCTTGTCTACTACTAGTATGCACAGGAACAGTTGAGGAACCCGGCAAGCTGGCTGATCCTCATAGCTGGCTTATGTTTGTTGGTTGGTCTTTCTGGGCACCATGCATATATGTTTGTGGTCTCTCGTTTTATGTGGTCGCGACAATGCCAGTAGCAGTGTTCGTCATCTGAATAATAAGCTGGCAGAGTGGCAGGTCACTTGAAGTGTAATGTAACTTGCATATTTATTCCTTCCGTGGGTTGAAACTATTGCAAATGTACGATCCATCGATTAGCAAACGTGGTGAGCCAGAGCCCAGAGCCTACAGAGTTCCGTACGTTTAAATTTTGCTTGGTTCTGTCAAGTTATTACAACTATAGTGATCTGTCGTGACATCTAGTGACTTGGTCTGCTGGCTTTGTCTTCCTCTGTTGTTCCTGTCTATCTGCTCTTCCACCCTGACGTTGGCTCCATCCTTTGTGACAAAGGCTTTGCCCCTCCGGGCTCCATCAGTCCGGTGAAGGTGACGAAGGGAGGAGCCGGTGAGATGGCCGGTTTGGGTTCAATGCAGTAGCTGGGACGGTGTGGGGATGCTGATCAAGTTGACTGGAGTGGCGTAAGCATGTAGACGAGATGGTATATTGCCAACATTAAAACTAAGCTTTGATGCGCTTCCACCCCATCTACAGGCCTGTTTCGCTTCCTTATCCTCTTTCCCCAAGGATTCTGAACTTTTTAAATATATTCTTATTATGTTTTGGATGGCACTTGGGTTGCTGCATAGTGCATAGGAAAGCAATGACCTGATGTCTACTGGAGAAAGATACTTCCATGAACTATTAGGAAGATCCCTTTTAGAAGATCATTATATAGTTTTTGATGGAACTATTTCAAGATGCAAAATGCATGATCTAATTCATGATCTTTCCGTAGAAGTGTCCAAAAAAGGAAAGGACTAGACACCTAGTGTGGGACCACGAACACTTGACAATGGAGATGAAATTCCCTGGCCAGCTAAAAAGGGCCTGTAGAGCAAGGACATGTAGCACTCGGTTTTAAGAACAAAATCCGATACGCACCATATGTGAGCTCAGGAAGTCAAATCTCACATATAGCTATAAATAAGTGTAATATTAAAAGACAATGCTCAATATATAACGTACTTAGTATAAATGATATAACCTTAGACAACAAACAGCGGAAAGACAACTCCGATCTTCGGGTGAAGACTCCAATCTATAGGGACAACTGACTGGTTGATCACAAGCCTAATTTCTCCAAACTCTAGCAATCTGGTACCCATCCAGGATTTTTATCCAAATATATGAAAAATAAAGCAAGCGTAAGTACATGTCGTACTCAACAAATATAACATGGGGTTCATGAGGCTCAAAAGGCTGACACTGGTTTAACTGCGATTAGCTTTTAATGAGTCATCCTTTAGCAATTGGGTGGCAACAAGTTTATTCACAAGCCCATATAAACACATGATCAGGTAAACATGAATAATGAACAGCATAAACAGTAATCATTAGTGTGCATCTTCATCATCGGTATCATTCGTGTTCTTCATCTATTCCGTAAGGGTCCAAGGCCGCTCGTGACCGTGAGCACGGCTGATATACCGTTTTATACTCTGAAGAGGTTGTACACTTTCACTGTGAGTCGTGATTTACCCTTTTACCCGAAGCGGTCAACCTCTTGACCCACTACCAAGGAAGGTCGGTAGGGTTCACTATGAAGCCTTTCAAAGATTCGTCTAACAAGTTAGGGCTGCTAAGGTTTCCCCATTAATAAGCATGAACCCATCTCCAAGGAGTGACTAACAAAATACCAAGAAACCAAAGTGCAACCTTTTGGCAGGCCGAGATCATATCTGTCGTAGCCCCTATTGTGCCATAAAGGTAACCACTAACAAGCTAGAAAATATCCTCATACTGAGCTAAAGCCAGAGCCATGTAGCCCTCACAGTTGTACTATAAGTCCTGGATATTTGCTTACAGATAAATCCTTAGAGAGAGAAATCTAGAGCACCATAAAAATAGCCCAATGCTCTAACCCCCTTGTTCCATATTACTAAAAAGCATCTTTTAGTGTTTATTGCATAATGCATTAGTCAAGTTACAAGATCATAACTTTAGTTTAAGCACTAGCATCATACTACCCAATGCAATAACCCATAGGAATCAAGGAATCTAGGATATTAAATAGCTAGGAAAATTACTATGGTTGACTAGGTAGACACAAGCATATGATTAAATTATTAAAGTGAATAGGACAACAAGGAAGATCCCATGCTATACTTGCCTTAAAACTCTGATCTTCTTCTATTGAATTGTAACCTCCAAAAGACTTCTTCTCGATCACCAACTTCTTTTATATCACCAACGTACTTCTCACCGACTGGACATGATTATAAAGCACCACACAAGCATCCATGCAATCATACATGAAGTAAACAACAGATCTAAATTAGAATAGTACACCAAACATAGGAAATAGAAAGTAAAAAGGTTTTAAAGATGTTCTACACGTTGTTATGAACACACAGGCGCGAAAAGCATACAAATCGGAGCTACGGTGCAAAAGATACAACTACCGAAAGATTTACTTTTATATAAGAAGAAAATTATAGGCTTCATTTATTTTAACTATATAAAATCATATATATAAGATATTTTATAAAATAATATAAATTGAATTAAGTCAAATTTAGATTTGAGTTATAAAACTTAAAGTAAAACAAATCATATTTTATTTATAAAATCCAGTTGCATAATTATTATTCAAGTTAGAGTTTAAACCATGAAATTCAAGAGCTAGTGATATGATAAATATTTTTACTAATGCGTAGATTACGTCGTTACGAATCTAACGCAACTTGAACGGGTCAAATCGAAGTTAAAACGCGGAAGATATAGGGTTTAGAAGTTGGATGGCAATATTGTAAATATCCTGAACTGACTTTCGAATTAAAAATAAATCAAAATCGGAATTTAAATCTGGTCAAGGACGACGGGCAGAATTTGTAGGAAGCATAGGGTCTCTTTTGCAAAAATATAGGGACAGCGGGTTATATAATTAGAAACCTGAAGGACTCTTTTGCAAAATTGACGTGCTGACCGGTATTGACCCGATCTAGGTCGCTAATCTTGTGTTCGACGGCCAGAGAAGAAGGGAAGGATGGAGTCATCGGCGTGTCTCTTCCAAGCAGCGGTGGCGCCATGGTTGACGGCGAGAAGCTCGCCGGTGATCGGTGAAAGGGCGGTTCTGGGAGCGAAACTCGACGGTGAAAGCACGGGAGGAAAGCGCGGGCGACAACGAACTCACCTAGGGCTTCCTGGTGTCGGAGAAGGCTCTGAAACTGCGTGTAGCTCGATCGGGCGGCAGCAGCTACCTGCAAAGTTCGGCTATGGCGTGAGAAAAATAGAGACCGAGAGAGAGTAAGGGGAGGGGCTCGGTAGCTTCATAACCTCAACGCGGAGCTCGGAAAAGATTGGCGAACGGCGGTGAGGCAGCAAATGACGAGCACAACTACGGCGGCTTCGTCTCCCAACTCGATGAGATCTGAAATAGGGTAGGACGAGCCCAAGGCAAAACGGCGACCCGTAGATGGGAAACGGGGATGCGGCAGGGTCGCAGGAGTCTTATAGGGGCGCCTCGGCGTGGGCAACACGCCAAATTGGGCGAGGACGACGCGGATTCGATTCGGAGCAGAGTCCGGCCTGGGCACGACTCGGGGTTGAAGACGGCCCTGACAGGGCGGGCCCACCTGTCGGCGACTAACGCGCGGGTCCCTACGGTCAGCCACAGAGAGAGAAGAGAGCACCTGCGTTGTTGGGCCGGCTGCTTTGCGTGCCGCGCGAGAGAAAGGGAAAGGGAGAAGTGAGGCCGAGCTGGGCCTGTGGGATGGGACTGGGCCTGCGGAGCTAGTTGGTCACCATGCGCAGTAGTGAGGAGGGAAGGGAGCTGGGCTCCGGTGAGGATGTCGGCTGCGCGAAGGGAGAGCAGTGCTGAGCTCCAGCTTGGGCCTATAGGCCAAAAAAGAGAGGGGGAGAGAAAGGAGGCCATGGGCCTAAAGAGAGAAGGAGGTTTTTCTTTCTTTCTTTTTTCTTTTCTTTTATTTTATAGCCATTTCAAAACCTTTCAAAAGCAAAATTTTAATTCATTTTGATTTTGAGTCAAAACCACTCACCCAAACAAATCATATGCAGTGGCATGAATGCATCACAAATGTTTCTACACCCTATGATAAATTTTACTTAATGAAAAAATATTATTTTCCTATGTTTTCATGAGCACAAAAATATAAAATTAAATTATTTTAGCTCTATTTCAAGAGAAGCAAATTTTAGGGTGTTACAGGACATTTCTAAGTAAATTCAGTTATGGCATTGTGAGTAAATCTTTTCTTGAAGACCTTTTTTCAACATTCAGGCACCTTCGTGTCCTACTTTTTAGCCATGTTGAATTTGAGGAGCTGCCAAATTCGATGGAAAATTTAAGGCACCTAAGGTACCTAGATCTACAATGGAATATCAAAATCAAATACCTACCAAATTCTTTATGCAAGCTGGTGAATCTACAAACGCTCTTGCTTGCTCGATCTCACCAACTAGTGGAGCTACCAAGAGATGTGCATGGACTTGTCAATCTGACATTGCTCTTGCTAACTTCAAAGCAGAAACATTTGTTAAGACATGGGTTTTGTGGTTGGCCTTCGCTAGCACATCGACATTTGAGAGGCTGCCTTGAGCTAACATCATTGACAGAGGGACTTGGCAGCCTATCTGCCCTCAAAGAGCTACGCATCTTCAACTGTTCAAAGTTGGCTTCTCTTCCCTCTGCTATGAGGCAACTCTCCAAACTCCAGTGTTTGGTTATTAATAATTGTGCAGAGATTGATCTGATGGAACCAAAGAAAGCCATGAG